GGTTGACTTTCTTGCTCACTGACCTTGGTGAGCGACCTCGCTCTGCACCGACCTTGTTCGCTGACAACAAGGCCATGATCCTCCTCTGTCGAGAGCCTCGACTGGAGGGCAGAGTGAAGCACATCGACGTGAGGTACTTTCTCCTGCGAGAGTTGCAGCGACGCGGCCAGGCTCGTTTGGACTTCGTGGCCTCAGCGGCCAACATTGCAGACATCTTCACCAAGGCCCTAGCGCCTAGTGACCACCACAGGTTCTGTCTGCAGTTAGGCCTTGTTGACACTGGTGCTAGGTTGCTGTAGCATTCTTCCTTGTTGCTTGCACTGCTGCTGCTACTGCTGCTGCAGCTGTCGCTGCGGCCGCTCCTGCTGGTCTAGCTGCCGCAACGCCTGCCTCTCCTGCTCCAACCGCTCCTGCTCCTCGTGCTCAAGCCGGCGAAGAGCCTGGAGACGCGTGTCGTAGCGGTGGGGAGGCGCAATGGGCGCCACAGTAGTAGTGCCTCCAGTCCCAGTCACCTCAGAACTAGCACCTACAGTGCCAGAAACTCCATCTCCAGCACCTCCAGCTCCAGCACCCCCAGAACTAGCACCTCCAGTGCGAGCACCTCCAGCTCCAGCACCCCCAGAACTAGCACCACCAGTGACAGTACCTCCAGCTCTAGCACCCCCACAACTAGCACCACCAGTGCCAAGACCTCCAGCTCCAGCACCCCCAGAACTAGCACCTCTTGTGCCAGCACCTCCAGCTCCAGCACCCCTTGAACTAGCACCTCCAGTGCCAGCACCTCCAGCTCCAGCACCCCTCGAACGAGCACCCCCAGACCGAGTACCTCCAGTGGCAGCACCTCCAGCTCCAAGACCCCCTGAGTCCACAGTAACCTGTCGCGGAAGTGCCGAAGGCTGCTGAGGGGACTGTGAGGAGGACTGCGGGGAGGGAGACGCTACCTGACGCGCGACCGAGGGTAGAGGGGTAGCGTGAGACACACCTGACGGGGCAGGACCAGAGGGGGGTGGGGGTACCGGAGGAGCGGGAGCAGGAGGAAGAGAGGGGGCGAGGAAGATCGGGGGAGGGGGAACCGGGAGGCCTCGACAGGGGTAGCGAGCGTAGTAGGACACTGACTCATCAAACCGGACGTCACGGGAGTCGAGGAAACGGTGGAGGGGCGGGTGGTAAAACTCAAAGTCAGGAGCGTCCATCGGGAAACCAAGGGATGGCGCGAGCCGAGAGCTTATCCGCAGAAGGGACAGCCGGGCACGGGAGGGTGGTAGAACAGCGAGTGACAGCTGGTCCTGAAGTAGGATCAGCCAGGGCAACTGGGACCGGAGCAGCAAGAGGTGTGACAGTGGTGTGGTCGCGGAAGAAGCACTGGGACGCGCCATAGTCCAGCGTGAAGGAGAGTGACGCGTCAGCAGTCATCACAGCTGCACTAGTAACTACACAAGCACCTACACTAGAAGCACACGCACCTACACTAGCAACAGGCAAAGGACCTAAGCTGGGTACACGTAAGTCAAGAGATCCATACGTGACATAATAAACATCATTCATTGACATATCAAACACACGGTAACCACTACGAGACAGACCGGGCCAGATCGGGGGAAACGAGTCAGGCCCAAAACGCTCACGGTAAAGGTCGTCGAGGCAGCTGTAGCAGCGCAATGCAGAGTGGTCAGGACGCCAGCAAGTAGTGCCAGCACGAGGGCCAGTTAGGATCCGGTACTGGCAGGGTCCAACGTCGCAGCCACAACCACTACCCCTCCAGCCGTCTGGGCAGACGCTCCCCGGACCACGAGGCCCCCACTACTGCGGAGGGTGCCACTGTTGCGGAGAGTGCCACGGCTGCTGGGGTCCCCACTGCTGAAACTGCTGCTGTCCCTGCCGCTGTAAGACCCGAGTGGACGCCATGGTAAAAGGCTAGCAGGGCAACAGGCGTGAGGAACTGCTGGAGCAGGAGTGGCTGGAGCTAAGAACTGCTGGAGGGAGGAACAGCTAGGACCGCCAGGCTAGGAATGGCTGGAACGAGGAGCGGCTGGAGCGAGGAGTGACAAGGGACTGTAGGCGGCTAGAGCTAGAACGGCTCGAGCGAGAACGGCTGGAGCTAGAACGGTTGGAGCTAGAACGGCTGGAGCTGAAACGGCTGGAGCTAGAACGGCTAGAGCAAGAACGGCTGGAGCGAGAACGGCTGGAGATAGAACGGCTGGAGCTAGAACGGCTAGAGCTGAAACGGCTGGAGCTAGAACGGCTGGAGCGAGAACGGCTGGAGCACAACTGGCTGGAGCTAGAAAACTGCGAGCTAGGGCCAGCTGGATGTAGGAATGGCTGGAGCTAGAGGCAGTAAGTGCGGCTGTCGGTTGCCGCTAGTAGAGCCACTTGCAGTGGAAAGTACGTGCGGGAGTAGGGGCTGCAGTATGGGCGGGTGCGGGATGTAGGCTGTGCAGGTTGTCTGGCAGGCAGGAACGCGGGCGACAGTTGCAGGCCCCGACCCTAAACCCTGTTTTTTTTTTTTTTTTTTGGGTTGCGAAGCAACCTATTACGATCGATCTGGCCAGTTTTTTTTTCACATTTTATTTATTTAAAATAAAATATGAAAAAAATATGGTTGCATTAATTGCTATCTATGTAACATGTAAGAGGTTATGTCTAGTTCAATTCTACTAACGTGGTGGTAGTGATTTTTTGGAGAACTAGGTTGTTTTTGTGATTTACTTTGTAGTGATTTACTACCGTATAATACGGTATGCACATGAAAATATGAATGTAATGATCGGTTAATGTAGATGATGAATAGTGATACCGTATTATATAAAACATGATATATTATGTAAGATATTATAAATGATAAATGCATGCCTTAAGTTCGATATGAAAAATGCTTACTTATTACTGACAATCCATGATGCATATATATAATGATAAAGATGCGTGAAAGCTAACGACCCAAAAACTATGCTACCGCATCCCCCGCCTAGCATGTCGGGGAGCTGATAGCAATATCTTTGAACAATCAGCAGTCACATGAAACAACACAATATGTGAACTCCAAAAATATGGTCAACTCTATCATCTCCAGTTCAAGTGGGCTCCCGACAGGCGCGCCAATGAACCTTTGGGTAAAAATGATAGAGCCGATTCACATTTTTCAAACCCACAAACATGCATTGTTGATGCAATAATGGATGAATGCTCACTCCACAAGCAAACGCATACACAACAGCGAAACACACGCACAACAAATAAACAAGCCGAAACCCCTCGACACGATAATACATAATAATGCAAAACAAATTAAAAATGGCAATATGATAACAAGTATAAGTAACAACTACAAATTCTCCAGATTGAACTCGTCTTCTTTAGACTCCTGAGAACAAAAAAAAATATAGAAATGAAAGGACATCATAGGAAAGTGGTAAACATGAATAACCTGGATACAAAATAATGAATTATGAAAAGCGAATGCAAGGTAGGGTGAACATAACAGAAAGCAGAGCATATCAAACAAAGCAGAAAACAGAAGCAGAAAACGGAAGCATAAAACAGAAGCATAAAACAGAAGCATAAAACAGAAGCATATAACGGAAGCAGCAAATCGAAGGAGTAAACATAATGAAGGAAGGAACGACGGACGGAAGGAAATAGAGAGCGAGAGCGAGAGCGAGAGCGAGAGCGAGAGAGAGAGAGAGACAGCGAGAGAGCGAGAGCGAGAGAGAGAGAGAGAGAGAGAGAGAGAGAGAGAGAGAGAGAGAGAGAGAGAGCGAGAGAGAGAGAGAGAGAGCGAGAGAGAGAGAGCGAGAGAGAGAGAGAGAGAGAGAGAGAGAGAGAGAGAGAGAGAGAGAGAACCCTCCTGTTGGAGGCATAGGGCAGGAGATGCACCTTGGGGACTGCTTTGCGGTGGTTGAGCCTTTTCTAGAGCTCTAGAGAGGATGGTGGTGTGTTCGTGGTATGGCATGTTTGTTTTGTTTGTTAGGTTGTCAATTTGGTTAGCTAGACCTTGCACTATACCCTGCATGTTTGTACTTTCAACCTATATCAATACACGGACCATTAGAGAGAGAGAGAGAGAGAGAGAGAGAGAGAGAGAGAGAGAGAGAGAGAGAGAGAGAGAGAGAGAGAGAGAGAGAGCGAGAGAGAGAGAGAGAGAGCTAACACCATGCATGTACCTGCCTATACATCAATGAAGGACCGCTTGAGAGAGATGGTAAGGTTTCAGTCCTTAGCCGTTTTTATGCCTCTCTAGTCCTAAGATCCAGTCCTTAGCCGTTTTTTGCCTAGTTTCCTTAGTATAAAGCACCTGGATCTAGTCCTTTGAGCTCATTATTCACTGGTGAGTTGGGTTCACTCTCCAAAATCCGGCGGCTCGCGCGAGAGAGAGCGAGAGAGAGAGAGAGAGAGAGAGAGAGAGAGAGAGAGAGAGAGAGAGAGAGAGAGAGAGAGAGAGAGAGAGAGAGAGATGGTAAGGTTTCAGTCCTTAGCCGTTTTTATGCCTCTCTAGTCCTAAGATCCAGTCCTTAGCCGTTTTTTGCCTAGTTTCCTTAGTACAAAGCACCTGGAGCTCATTATTCACTGGTGAGTTGGGTTCACTCTCCAAAATCCGGCGGCTCGCGCGAGAGAGAGAGAGAGAGAGAGAGAGAGAGAGAGAGAGAGAGAGAGAGAGAGAGAGAGAGAGAGAGAGAGAGAGAGAGAGAGAGAGATGGTAAGGTTTCAGTCCTTAGCCGTTTTTATGCCTCTCTAGTCCTAAGATCCAGTCCTTAGCCAATTTTTGCCTAGTTTCCTTAGTATAAAGCACCTGGATCTAGTCCTTTGAGCTCATTATTCACTGGTGAGTTGGGTTCACTCTCCAAAATCCGGCGGCTCGCGCCGGCCGCCTTCGGCGGCCGCCGCTCGGCAGCGCGGCCTTCGGCCGCGCGTGAGGTGTGGCAAGGAAAAGCTGGGATCCAAATTCACAACGGGTGCGAACTAAGGCTACAAGTACAACATGGAATACTAGGCAAGCCCCCACAATGGGGAAAAAGAAACAAGCGCCGCGGCCGGCGCCCGGGGCCATCTACATCATCCTCACCCGCTGCCCAACCCACTGGAGCAACGAAGCGATCGCAGGGCCCGGGGCGCTTGTTTCTTTTTCCCCGGGGCCATCTACATCATCCTCACCCGCTGCCCAACCCACTGGAGCAACGAAGCGATCGCAGGGACGAGATCCAACGGCGACTCTTCAGCCGCCGTGGCTACCCAGCGGAAGGCCAAGGCGCCAGGGCCTTCGTCCAGCTCAGCATCTTCCGGCTCCAGCGGCAAGTGGAGCATCTCCCACATCGCCTCCGACAGCGCCACACGGACAACACCCTGCTGAATCTCATCAAGCTGCGGGTCACGAGCGACGAGCATCCGCTCCTGCACAGCGAGGTGGTACTGCTCAAGGACCGTCGCAAGACGTGTCACGAAGCACCGGAGCTGAGACAGGCGCTCCCCACGCTCAAGGTACTCCGACTCGCCCGGGGCCTCCTCCGCCCACCCGCTCCCCCACCTCCCCACACGGGGATCATTCGGCCAACCCATGTTCCACCACTCCAATTGCGGGTCCCGTGCGGTCCCAGGCGTTGCAAACTCGTCCCACCCGCGGTGCCGCTCGTTTGGCTGCGACGACACCTAGACAGGAGTCACACCAAGATGTCAGTCACGGGCACGAGAACCAGACCCAGGGACAAGGGGTAAACGCACGAGGAAAGGCAACGGCAGGGGAGGGGGCGACGGGAGGTAAGGACTCACAACACCCCATCGAGCCGCGGAAGGACGGGACCGAGGAACAAGGGGATGCTGGCGCTGAGGCGGCGGGAGAGAAGGAGCAACCGGAGGAGGAACGGGAGCGGCGGGAGGGACTGCGACTGACGGCGCGATCAAAAGGGAAGGCGCCGATGGAGGAGGCGCCGACGGTGGAGGCGCAAGAGGGGGCGCAGGGGCAGGCTGGATCTGAGAGGGAGCCAGCGCAGGCGGAAGGGGCGCCGGGGGCTGCAGAGGCGGCGGGAGAAGGGACGTCGGCGGGGGTGCTGGGGATGGCGGCTGGAGAGCGCGCCCACGAGGAGGATGGAACGGCCTGGGTCGCCATGGCTGATGGCGGGGACGCCGGGATTGACGGAAGGGCTGGCCGCGGGGGCGCAGGTAGTATGGCGTTCGACCAGGGGGGGGGTGATACACTGGACCGCCGCGAGAGTCCGGCAGATGGCGCGGCTCACGGCCCGATCCGCCGCTCGATTCGGCTTCAACCAAGTCTGCGGCGGCTCGGAGCAGGGCTGGCACCTGGCCTCCCTGGCCCCCTTTGGGGGTGGGAGCGTCAGACCGTCCAACCACGACCTCACGGCGAGGGGCCCTCGCGGCCTTACCCGTCATCGGCGTGGGCGGACGAGGAGGGAGAGGTGGAGCTACCGGCGGAAGTACCGGCGGCGGAGGACCTACGCCCGGGTGGTGCGGCGGGAAGGGCGCGGGGGAGAGCATGGGGACGGGCACGGGGACGCGCGGGGACACGAGGGCGGAGAAAAAGGGGGAGGGCGGTGAACGCGCGGGAGCGAGTCAGATCTGGTCCGTGGCGGGAAAGGCACGGTAGGCCAGAGGTGGTGCCAGAGGTGGTGCCAAAGGAATCGAATGCTGATAGGCTAGCTGCGTCTGACAGAGGAGAGGAGGATGAGGCCTATATGGCCTTAGAGGAAGGAGAATCAGAGGAAGTCTCGCTAGAGGATGAGCCGGGGGTGGGCAACCACCAGCGAGGTGGGAGATCTGGGAGAACGCGACTGGAGGGAAATGGGAGGATGGGGGGGGACCAGCAGAATGGAAATCCGCCACCTGGGGCTCCAATCGGGCAACCAGGTGGCGCGGAGGTAAGGGAGATGCGTCCACCCGAGGTGATTGCAGGGGATGAGGCGACCTGGCGACAGGTGGCGGAGTGGGACATGGACTGCCTCCGTGGCAGTGAACAGCCCTTCCTGGCTAGGAGGATGCCACCTGGGGTGGTGGACTCCCTCGCAGCTTGCCTCGTCATCCCACTCCAGCGACTGAAGAAGAACCCACTGTGCCAAGGGGCATGGCGGGTTCTCCTGTTCCTGCCACGTTTGACACTCCGCGCCGATATTGACCCCTCCTGCGCAAACCACTGGCAGGGGATCGAGGGTAGACTGCAACAGTTCCTACTCGAGAAATGGGACCTACTGTTCCTACAAGCCAAAACAGTTCCAGACGACCCCAAACCGAGCAGACATCAGCCGGACCCCGAGGGACTACGTGCGAGAGCAGAAGGGCTCGTACAAAAAGCGAATCTCGCCAAGTCACTCGCAGCGTTACAATCTTCCCCCCTCGCGACGACTTCGCTGACAACACTCGAGGCACTTCGCGCAAAACACCCGGAGGCGACAACCATCATTCCGGACTGGGTTACGGGGTTTAAGGCATCACCCCTCGCCACCACGCCTAACCAACTTCGTGAGGTATTGTAAGGAAAAATCCCTTTCCTTACTTCGCGTCCCTGCTTACCGCGTACATGCCCGTTCCCGCCATCGGCACCCATCCGTGAACGTTACCCGCTCGCGACATTCGCCTCGACCACGACTCCCGCCACTGTTCACGATGCGACCCAACCTCACGGTTCGGTTGGTAACCCGCGCTCCGGACCTCCGCCTCGACAATTCCTAACCTCAGCGCTAGGCCCGTAGCGCACCCCAATTTCCCGCATTACCGTTACCACGCTAGCTTCGCTATATAACTTCGCTCATGCTTTTCGCTCAACTGTATTGATTGCTTCGATAGTGCAATTCTCACTCGCTCGTTCAATTGCACTCGTAACACTTGGTATTCAGAGCCTACGGTCTCCTCTCGGACCGCACCCACACCTTCGCTTTCCCACTATCTCAATTTTTGGGGGGGGTAGACGTCTCTCAGCGAACAAGCACCGCCGCTCGTAGTGCTCTCTCGTAAGCACGCACGGCCACGACAGAGGCTCCCGCTGAGTTTGCCCGACACCCCCGCCATGGCCGAAATTAATCTTGCGACATTGACGCAGGAGCAGCTCGACCGTCTCGTACGTCAACTCGAAGATTCGGCACTCGAAATTGCGACACTCACGGCGGAACGTGACTCTGCCCGCCAGCAATCAACGGTGAATGCACCAGCTCCATCACAAGCACCCGCAAATGCACCTGCGCAATCAGAAGAACCGATCGTCATCTCATCAGGCACACCGACGCAAAACGACAGTGTGGGACAGCGCTCAGGCGCAGCCAGTGATGGCGCCGCTCAATTGATGCCTGGCATGGAGAGAAATCGGGCCGCGCCAAGCCCGCGTGGGCCTCGCGAAGCTCGTCGGCACGTGGAGTTTGCAGCAACAAGTGGCAACCACGACATCATGGCACCAATGCCACTCAAGCCGCAGCGCCCGCCCTGTTTCGATCCGAGCCAACGTGGAGGTCCGACGGTTCAGTCGTGGGTCTTCACGATGAACGTTTTCTTCGACGCGAATTACGTCGAGTCGGAGGCAGCGAAGATTCGCTACGCTGTTTCGCTGCTGAGGAGCCCCGCCATGGACTGGTGGCGAGTCATCGTGACGTCGCCATGCGCCTACGAGCCACCGTCGCAAGAGGAAGGGCCCACGGGTCCAGCCGTCACCTGGGGTTCATTCTGCGAAACAGCCCAATACAGCACGTGGGATGCGTGGTGCGCAGGGCTTCGGGCGCGCTTCGAGCCGATCGCGGCTTCTATTTCGGCGCGTCAGAAACTGCGTACTTGGCGGCAGCTCGGGTCGGTTCAAGACTACACGAGTGGTTTTCTCGCACTATGCGAGCAAGTCGGCTACATGCACGAAGCGGAGCGGGTGGACCGTTACGTTGGAGGGCTGAAGCCGGACATCTCGCACGAAATCATGCTACGCGGACTCTCGAATTTCAACGAGATTCTCGCGCTCGCCGAGAAGATCGATATCTTACGCCGTCCGAGACCGGGGTCCTATTACGGACATCGCCCTCGGGGACCGATCGAGCACGCCACTGTACATGCCGTTGCGACAAATGCAGCTGCCGCGCCATTTAAGGGGCGCTGCTTTGCTTGCAATAGGCCGGGCCATCGCAAGAGTGAATGCCCAGAGGAGCTGAGACGCCGCGGAGCAGAGCAGGGGAGGGAGTCTCCAAGGCAGGGAAACGCCAACAGTCAGTAGGAATCGGGCCAACTACTGACGAGACTGCCTGCTCGCCCAACCTCACCAACCCTCACCGAGTCACAGTACCGATTCACGCTATCGATCGGGGTCGGATGAATAAGGAGGGTACAGCGACGGATTGCCAGGTACTGATCCACGGGAAAATACAGGGAGCAGCAGTGAAGATTTTTATCGACGGAGGCGCAAGTCATAGCTTAGTTAAAGCTCGCGTCTCATATTTCCAACCGTTTAACACTTGGTTGGGTTTGCCCGACTGTGATTGGGTAACGAAAACGAAATATTTGACGAGTGGGTGAAAAAATCACAGCGAACTACCAAAACAGTCGAGGCCAAAACAAACCAGGGTGGGTTGGTTTGGGTGGAAAACGAGCCAAGGGGGACAGGTTCGGTCCCCCCTTCTGTCAATGTTGAGTTTCAGAGTCTCATATTTTTGGAAGTTGTAAACGCTTGGTGTGCACGGGAAGTGTGCGACAGCCAACTTTCCCAAACCACCCCTTGCTTTGGTGTGCTTTGCGACAAACTTTGCTGTTACCAAATTCCAACCGTTTAACACTTGGTTGGATAGTAGAAATATGAGACGCGAGCTTTAATACCGCGACCGCACGAAAACTACAACTGACACTGAGTCGGTGTTTACCGGAGATAGACGCACGCTTAGTTGACGGCACACCACTGGCCATACGGGAAAAAGTGGAGAGAGTAAAGGTCCGCTGCGGGGGGAACTTCGGTTTTACACAGGAAATGCTTGCGACGACACTGGATGGGCACGACATTTTACTGGGACGTGATTGGTTGCGACGGTATAACCCGCGAATTGACTGGACGACGGGTAGCTGCACTGTGCGAAGTAGCGGTAACTGGGTGTCGCTACCACGCTGGCAGTCGCCCGAGTCTTCAACGGTCCACGTCAACGCCATCACGATGAAACGGGCTGTCACCGCTGGAGCTGACGTGTACGCAGTGGATATAGCGTTGATAGGAGAAGCAGAGCAGCCGAGTGATTTTCAGAAACTGTTGGCAGCAGTACCGCCCGAACTACAAGAACTGTTGAAACAATACCCGGGGATTTTTCCAGACGACTTACCGGAGGGACTGCCACCTCAGCGGGCACATGACCACCGAATAGAGTTAGAACCGGGGGCACAGCCAACCGTACAGCGACAGTTCAGACCGACACAGCCCGAGCTCGACGAGCTGAGGAAGCAGTTAGACTACCTGTTAGAGAAAAAAATCATCCGACCGAGCTCGTCACCGTTCGCCGCACCGATACTGTTCACACCGAAAAAAAGACGGAGGATTTCGCATGTGCATCGATTACAGAGCACTGAACAGGGTAACAATCAAGTCGCGATACCCCATTCCCCGCACTGACGAACTGATCGACCAGCTGCGAACAGCACGGGTTTTTTCGAAAATATATTTACGGGGAGGTTACCATCAGATTCGGGTCGAACCATCCGACTGCGCCAAGACAGCATTTAAGACTAGGTACGGGTCATTCGAGTACACCGTAATGCCATTCGGGTTGACCAACGCACCGGCGACATTTCAGATGACCATGAACGAGGCGTTTAGGCCACTCTTAGATAAATGCGTGATAGTTTACCTCGACGACATCCTAGTCTACAGCAGGGATAAGCGGCAGCACTTAGCAGATCTGGAAGCAGTTTTTAAGGTTTTAGACGAGCACCGCCTACTGACCAAGGGTTCCAAGTGCGAGTTCTTCCAGGATAGGTTAGAGTTTTTAGGACACGTTATTTCGGAGGCTGGGGTTGAAATCGACCCAAAGAAGCTGGACACGGTAAAAGCGTGGCACCCCCCGACAAATATCACGAAACTGCAGAGTTTTTTAGGGTTCGTTAATTACGTACGTCGGTTCGTCCCCGACATGGCACGGTTAACAGCCCCACTGACGGATCTGCTGCGGAAGGGGGTCGCTTTTACGTGGGGGGAGAAAGAGCATGCTGCCTTCTCTGCCCTGAAAACTGTTCTCTGTTCACCGCCCGTACTGCGCATCGCTGACCCACACCGCCCATTCGAAGTAGTTACAGACGCAAGCGACATCGCCATTGGAGCCGTACTGCTACAGGATTTCGGCAACGGTTTACAGCCCATCGCATACGAGTCACGAAAACTGCATCCGCCCGAGAAGAATTACCCGATACACGACCGCGAAATGCTCGCGATCGTGCATGCATTCAAGGTTTGGCGCTGTTACTTGACCGGCGCAGACGTGACAGTACGGACAGATCATAAATCATTACAGTATCTCCGCGCACAGCCCCACCTCAACCCACGACAGATTCGCTGGCTCGATTTCCTCGAGTCAAACTTCCACTACACAGTCACCTACAAAAAAGGGGCATCGAACATCGCCGACGCATTGACCCGCCCCACTGCCCAGATCCATGCAATACTACTCGCCCAGACCAGCCCACTACTGACAGGCCTATTTACCCACAGGTACCAAACGGATCCATTCTTCACAGGAGGAAATTCGCAACAGTTCGCAGCAGCAAAGGGAGTCTATTACGTAAAAGCCGGGACCGACCGCATCTGGGTACCAGGGTACACACTGCTACGGGAATTACTGTTACAGGAGGCACACGACGGAGTTACCTCGGGACATTTCGGGGTAGAAAAAACACGGCAGCAGCTGCAGCGGTATTATTACTGGCCCGAAATGTTGACCGACGTTCAACGACACGTGGCATCGTGTCCCACTTGCCAGATCATGAAGTCATCACGGAAGCGGCCGGCAGGACAGTTGCAGCCGATACCACCCCCAGAGCGTGCTTGGCAGCAGGTGACGATGGACTTCGTCACGGGGTTACCGGCCGGAGCGAGTGGGAATGACGCGATCCTGGTCGTCGTCGATCGACTGACGAAAATGACACACTTCGCAGCCTGCAAAAATCAATCACAGCCGAAGAAACAGCCCGCCTCTTCATCTCTACCGTCGTTCATCAGCACGGGATACCAGCATCGATCATCAGCGACAGAGACACGAAATTCACCAGCAACTTCTGGCGGAACCTGTGGCAGCAGTTCGGCACGCGACTACAGTTTAGTTCATCATACCACCCCGAAACCGACGGACAGACAGAACGGACAAATCAGACCATGGAACAGCTCATCCGGGCCACGTGCGACGACCCGACCACGTGGGAACAGCAACTGCCACTCATCGAATTCGCGTACAACAACTCGCCATCTGCCACGACCCAACAGTCACCATTTTACCTGAACTACGGACTAGACCCCAC